TTGGTAGAGTGGCATCACAGCTCATAGCAACCTCAAACTCCTGGGCTTAAGCAATTCTCTTGCCTCAGCCTCCCAAGTAGCTGGGACTACAGGCGCCTGCCACAATGCCTGGCTATTTTTAGAGAGAAAGTCTTGCTCTGGGTCTGGCTGGTCTGGAACTGTGGTTTCAGGCAATCCACTTGTCTCAGCCTCTCAAGAGCTGGGATTACAGGTGTGAACCACCACTCCAGGCCTGATTTTAGATTTCAATTACTAAAAAACACATTCTTGCTAAGTTTCAATTTTCCATAGATTGGATATTGAATATGCACTTCTTTAAAACTCTGGAGCTCTGGATTGGATATGCACTTCTTCTTTTTTTTATTTTAGAGACAGAGTCTCACTTTGTCGCCCTTGGTAGAGTGCTGTGGCATCACAGCCTCCAGCTTTTAGGCTAGGGCGATTATTTGGCCTTAGCCTCCGAGTTGCTGGGACTGCAGGCACGTGCCACAATGCCCAGCTCTTTTGGTTGCAGTTGCCACTACTGTTTTAGCTGGCTGGGGCCAGGTTCGAACCTGCCACCCTCGATATATGGGGCCAGCGCCCTACCCACTGAGCCACAGGTGCTGCCTGGATATGCGCTTCTTTAAAACTCTGGAGCTTGGTTTTTGTATTGCTTAGTTACCTGGAGTTTTGGGAGGGGTAAGTTAAGTTGGCAGCTGTTTGTCCATTATTTTACCAAGCCTATAGAACAGTGATTATTTTTTTGGTGATTTTTTTGTTTGCCTGAATTTTTACATATATTATGCTGATACTTAGTAGGCTGTTTAGTTGTGCCTACAGATGTAGTGAGATTTATCCAAGCAACCATGGATTTTGAATGTGAATATTTTAAAAGAAATACTGAAATTATAGTAGCCCTGGGCCCATGTTCATTATGGCATGTATTCTTTTTTCCCTTTTTTTTTTAAAGACAGGATCTCACTTTGTCATCCAGTCTAGAGTGCAGTGGCATCATCATAGCTCAGTGCAGTTTCAACCTCCTGGGCTCAAGTGATCTTCCTGCCCTCAAGTGATCCTCCTGCCTTTGCCTCCTGGATAGCTGGATCTACAGGCACATGCCACTGTACCTGGCTGTTTTTCTATTTTTTTTTTTTGGTAGAAATGGTGTCTCACTCTTGCCCAGACTGGTGCTGAACTCCTGGGCTCAAGCAGTCCTTCCTTCTGGGCCTCCCAGAGTGCTAGGATTAAAGGCATGAGCTGCCATGCCTGGAGTGTGGCATTTATTCTTTTCTTTGAGATGGAGTCTCATTATGTTGCCCTCGGTAGAGTGCTCTGGTGTCACAGCTCATAGCAACCTCAAGTTCTTGGGCTTAAGTGATTCTCTTGCCTCAGCCTCGCAAGTAGCTAGGACTACAGGTGCCTGCCACAGTGCCCAGCTGTTTTTTGTTGCAGGTATCATGTTTGGCTGGCCCGGGCTGGATACGAACCCGCCAGCCTTGGCGCATGTGGCTGACGCTATAACTACTGTGCTACGGGCGCCAAGTCTGGCATTTATTCCTGTTGCAATAAGTTTCTACATGCTCATTTTAATTTCTGATAGCATGAGTAATTTATATTGCATTCCTGAGAAACTAAAGGAAGAAGCTGCCTAATGAATATGACAATTACTATTAAATCTCCATTGTCCACTTTATGGGTGTTTATATGGTTATAGTTCCCTGGCCTTCAATACACTTCTGGATTACTCTCAGATTGTGTGTAATCAATTTGCGGAAACCAAATTTAAAAATCCAAGCAAGATAAATTTAAATTGCCTGGGTTAGGCAGAAAACACAGTTGCTGAAGGTTTTATAATAAAGCTACATATAAGCAATTTCTTTTTCCTTTTTCTGTTTACATGGGTTATGCTATCTCTCCCCTTTTAGTAATACGAGTAGGAATTGGCTTAGCATTGCCAAGTTAATATTAATGATAATATTAATATATTTGCACACATGTACATGTTTAAGGTTGTATAGAAAAATATCTTTCTCATGTTTAATTTGGCTGACCAGCCCAATAAGTTACCTAATAATATTCCTTTATTAATTTAAAATTCTAAATCTAACAGCCTATTACTAAAATAAATGAGTAGGATTAAAATAGAGAATCGGTTAAAATAAAGTTTTTTTATTTTAAAATAACTTTTGAATAAAGTAGCAGGCTTCAAGTGAAATTCAGTTTTGGTCTCCTTTACAGGAATTAGCTATTCACAGTCATACAGAACCACTTATCACGTTTTGCAGTATCTCCTGAGGAAGTCAGAATGTGAGCCAGCATGAAGACTGAATCTTGTCTTTGGTCTGATTTATAAACCGTGTTTTTATTCTAACCATGTGCAAGGTGGAGGTTATAGCATGGAAACTAAAATCTTAGTAAGTGTGAATTTTATTTTAGCTATTAAACAGTAGCCTTTCTTACAGTAAATTTGTTATCTTAGCAGAGTTCACACTATAAATGGGATGTGGACTTAGCAGGCAGGAACAAAATACAGTGTACTTCCAAAGTGAAAAATTCAGCTTTTCGGGTTTAGGAAAAATCCCTAAGAAAGCGAGGGAAAAGCTTCCATATTCTGCCTAGGATTTCTTTCTCTTTCCTGGTTAAAAATAAGTGGTGGGATGGTGTTATTTGATTTGAGAAAGGATTTAAGAAAATAGAGAAGTTGGCTGTAGTGGCCCATGCCTAAATTCAAAGCATTAAAAATTATTAAATGTGCTAGTAAGTTGCTTCATTTATGAATTAGTTGTTGTTAAGTAATAAAGACTTATTAATGTGGCAATGTTAGTAAGCCCACTCTTGAACCTTTTAAATAGTGAATATATTTTTAACATGAATTGATTTTTGAATATACTTTAAATATTCAAAATTTTAAATAATTTGAATATAAACATTCAAAATTATATTGGATGGGCTGGTCCTGATGGCTTGTACCTATAATTCCAGCTCATGAGGAGGTTGGTGCAGGGGAGGATTACTTGAAGTCAGGAGACAGAGATCAGCCTGGGCAACATAGTTAAGACCCTGTTTCTATAAAAAATTAGCTGGATGTGGTGGTGTACTCCTGTATTCCCAGCTACTTGGGTGGCTGAGGTAGGTGTATTGCTTGAGCCCTGAAGTTTGAAGTTGCAGTGAGCCATGATGATGGTACTACAGTCTAGCCTGGGCAGCATACCGAGTCCCTGTCTCAACATAAAAAATACAGAGTAGCCCCTCTGTAAGTTGACCACCCAGTGGACTGAAATAAACCGGTCACCATATGGAAGTGGTCAACATAAGGAACTAGGCCTTACTGTGCATGTGATGCATGTCTGGTCTATGAAAATTAGGTCAGCTTAAGGAATTGGTCAGTGTAGGGAGATGGTCAAGTGTGGAGGTTCTACAGTAGTGGTTCTCAACCTTCCTAATACTGTGACCCTTTAATATAGTTTCTGTGGGTCGTGAGCCACAGGTTGAGAACCACTGTTCTATTGTATGTTGGGAATGATTGTTAGTAGTTACCCTCTAGATATTCCCTCAGTTTGATTTGCCCAAGTGTAAGTAATTTGTAGTTTCCTTTTTGTATTCCAGGTAGGACTAGATTTTGTGGGACAGAATTATCAGGGAACTGTCTCTATATTGTACAATGTTACTTGAGAACATTTCTATCCTACCTGTGCTAATTAATAGCAGTGGATAATTAGCACTTTTAAGATGATTTTTTCCTTTAGCAAATATGGTAGAGTTGAATTGGATCTTCTGAATTCGTGAGTCACATTTTATCTTGTTCATAATCTGAGAAAGACATTGTGTTTAAGGTATTATTTGGTTTGTGTTGTTTTCCCTCCCTTTTGGTCTTTTAACTATTGACTACTTTTCTAAATTGAAGGTCTGGCTGAAATGAAACAATTCTATTAGTAGTTTCTCTGTTTTAATCTCCTTCCCTCTCAGAACAAACTTCCCTTTATCTCCTGCCTATCTCTTTTGCATCCCAGTATGCAATTTTATTAAATCCTGAGGACTAAGATTTCTTTTCTTTTTTTAGGGTGGGGGAGTGGAATTTATCCCCAGTGTCTATGGAAATAAAAAGATAAAGTGGGATAGTTCAATATGAAATCTCACATCTTTTAAGAAATTTATATTTTGTAAGTTGAAAGACATGTTTTTTGGGTGGGGCATGTATTCGTAGGTAGAATTATGTACTTATTATTTTAATAACCATGTCCTAATTATTTATAGCTTCCTGCCTGACATAACTCACTTCACGAAGTGCACAATGTCAGAACGTGGAATTAAGTGGGCTTGTGAATATTGTACGTATGAAAACTGGCCGTCTGCAATCAAGTGTACTATGTGCCGTGCCCAAAGACCTAGTGGAACAATAATTACAGAAGATCCATTTAAAAGTGGTTCAAGTGATGTTGGTAGAGATTGGGATCCTTCCAGCACCGAAGGAGGAAGTAGTCCCTTGATATGTCCAGACTCTAGTGCAAGACCACGGGTTAAATCTTCATATAGCATGGAAAATGCAAATAAATGGTCATGCCATATGTGTACATATTTGAACTGGCCAAGAGCAATCAGATGTACCCAGTGCTTATCCCAGCGTAGGACCAGGAGTCCCACGGAATCTCCTCAGTCCTCAGGATCTGGCTCAAGACCAGTTGCTTTTTCTGTTGATCCTTGTGAGGAATATAATGATAGAAATAAACTGAATGCAAGGACCCAGCACTGGACTTGTTCTATTTGCACATATGAAAACTGGGCCAAGGCTAAAAAATGTGTAGTTTGTGATCATCCCAGACCTAATAATATTGAAGCAATAGAGTTGGCAGAGACTGAAGAGGCTTCTTCAATAATAAATGAGCAAGACAGAGCTCGATGGAGGGGAAGTTGCAGTAGCGGTAATAGCCAGCGGCGATCGCCTCCTACTACAAAACGGGACTCTGAAGTAAAAATGGATTTTCAGAGGATTGAATTGGCTGGTGCTGTTGGCAGCAAGGAGGAACTTGAAGTGGACTTCAAAAAACTAAAACAAATTAAAAACAGGATGAAAAAGACGGATTGGCTATTCCTCAATGCTTGTGTGGGTAAGTTTCTATTTTCTGCATTTCATGAATGGGATGGGAAAAAGTATGACATGACATGAAAAGTGCTCTGCTCAGTGATGTGCTCCTATAGTCTCAGCTACTTGGAAAGCTAAGGCAAAAAGGATCTGTTGGGGCCTGGAATTCAAAGCTGCTGTGCTACATACTTTCACCTGTGATTAGCCCCTGCACTCCAGTCTGACTGATACAGGGAGACTCCATCTTAAAAAAAAAAGAAAGATGTGAATGAAAGAATGAGATATAAACAAGGTGGATCAGTATTTAACATTTAGTTCATTCAGCGTGATAGCTGTACTCTCAAGTATGCATGTATACGAATCTGTGTGTGTGTGATCTTGTCATAATTTTGTACTAAATTGCCTATTTTTAATTGTGTATGTGTCTGTCCATCACTAAGGGGAAGAATCTTTTAAGGTAAAGCAAAGTTCTTATGGATCAGTAGTAAATACATACCTGAAATCTAAAACTGCTACTCTGTTTATTGTGACAAGATGTGACTGAGGAACACCAGCTGCTGTTTTCGAGTGTTTGTAAACAGTGTGAGCATCTTGTGATGATAGAAGCTTTAGTCAGATGTTAAAAATATCGCAAAAATGTGTGACTCCAAGAAGTTGAACAAACATCATATTGACCTTGAAAATACTGATGTTAATTTAACATGAATGTCATGTATTAAATATTTGCAAACTTTTTGGAACTGATTACATGTAGCCAGCTTATTATGTATTTCAAATAATGATTTGTATGCATTGTATTTTTAGTGTTTTGTGAATATTGGTCCCAGCTCAGAGCTGGTAAAAGACAGGGACATATGAGAGCTGGATTTTTCTGTAGTTGTTGACCTTATGTATTAATTATGATTTAATTCACAAAAGTAGTGACTTGAATCTTTAATATTTTAAAAATCTGAGTAGATTTAGATGTTTGAATTTTATTATTTAAATTATTTGGATGGAGTGCTTACTTTGACATTTGGTATTGTAATGTTTGAGTGGTTGCTAAGGTGAAACTTTGTGTGGGACAATAGCTGAGCCTTGTGCATGGCTTTGCTGTATTTTACCCCCAGTACTGATTTCTTTTATTTATCACCCTGATTATAGCCCAAAGAATATGGAAGACATAGCTATAGGAATCTGTGAGTCCTAAGAAGCAATTTCAAGAAATTTTGAGTTTTTTCTTTTAGTTTTGTCTTGGCAAAAAAGACTGTCCCAGCAGTTGAACCCTTCTGACCTCCAGACATAGTGGGGATTAAGGATGAAAACGTCCTGAGCCATCTTCTGCTGTCTGTGTTGTTTCATTTTATCCCACTGATTTCCCACCCCTCCAATTGGGAGAATCTATACACACACACACATACATATATATGAATATATATATTTAGAACTTAAACAAGAGATATAAAAAGGATTTATTATTAGTTTTTTTTTTAATTTTTTTTTTTTTTTTTTTTTTGAGACAGAGTCTCACTATGTTGCTCTTGGTAGAATGCTGTGGTGTCACAGCTCACAGCAACCTCAAACTCTTGGGCTTAAGCGATTTTCTTGCCTCAGTATTATTTTTTAATTGAGATCAAATTCATAGTAACATAAAATTCACCATTTTGAAAATTAACAACTCATTGGCATTTAGTGCATTCACAGTGTTGTGCAACTACCACATCTGTCTAGTTCTAAAACATTTTTATCACCCAAAAAAGAAACCCTGTACCCCTTAAGCAATTATCACCCTCATCAATCCCTGTTACCCACCAATTCTGGATATTTTACATAAATGGCATTTTATATCATATGACCTTTTGTGTTAAGTGTGATTGTCTTCTAATTACTTGTACGGTATGCCCTTGGAGCAATCTTCAAATCACTTTTGGCAGGTAATAGTGTACTGTGCATACTTTTACCACAAAGTGATGTTATAGTACTTGTAGGTTTACAGATGGAAGTGAACTAAACTTCATTGTTTCCATTCTTTTCTTGAGGTCATAAAATCCTTTAGGAATGGGGAATTCGTTGTTTCTTCAAGTCACTAGATTCTAGGATAAGAACTGTTGCTTTTGAAATATTTTTTCTCCTTGAAACACACAAGTTAGACCAATCAACATGTTTGTCTTTATGGCTATTATTTCTTCTTTGTCCTGCCTTTTATTTCTTTCCACATATCCTTAGTTTTTTCATTAGCCATCCTATACTCTTTGCATTTTAATAGATATGAATTCATTTTAAAGGTGAAACTAAAGCTCCAAAAGCAAGGCTTGCTTCATTTACAAGGCAGTTTCTCTGTCATTAAGTTACTGTTCTCACCCCAGAGTTTCTAGATTCTTAGGGCAAAAGTTCTTTGATTTTTGTAAGGTGGATTATGTCTTTCATGTTAGCAAATATTTCTGACTGTTAACTGCACAGTATGATTCTGAACTGGTATAGAAAAGCCTATTGACTTGTCTCTTAGGCAGCCATATCCTTATTTATAAGCATCACTGAAATATGTTAAGAACTTTTTTTTTTTTTTTTTTCAGTTTTTGGCTGAGGCTGGGTTTGAACCCGCCACCTGCTGCATATGGGGCCGGTGTTCTGCTCCTTTGAGCCACAGAAGCCTCCCTATGTTAAGAACTTTTTTTACCTGTTTACATTGGTTTTTGTTTAAAAGGAAAAAAGAATAAAACCTTAAGACTAACAGAATATATATACACTGAAAATTACTTTTATTTCCCCCTTTCTGCCTGTTTTATGTTCCCCAGATTTCATTAGATATGATATATTATTGATGTTAAGTGTTTTAAAAAATCATTAAAAAAATCCTCCAAGTATGTACACTAAGCTTAAAATGTATCCTGAGTATAAAATGTGAGACTGTCTCATTTAAAATTGTAATAAATTTCAACCTTAAGCCAGCTTTGTAGCTGATTAAAATAGGAATGAGGAAGAGTCAGTTAAAGTAAACTGAATCATCAACAGTACTGAGTAAATATCTTTACATGACCATTAGATATAAGTTTCTTTTTTTTTTTGGCCAGGGCTGTGTTTGAACCCACGACTTCTGGCATATAGGGCTGGTGCCCTACTCTTTGAGCCACAGGCACCTCCCAGGTGTAAGTTTCATATAAGTCAAATTTTGTTATGTGGTGAGAGGATGTTGGAGATGGCAGTGCCAAAATCTGACATCAGTAAAAGTGGAACCTGGGAGTAGGAGTCTGGGTGGTAAGGGCAAGGGTATGAATTTGAATATGCATTTGTATTTGGAATGTCTGCAGTTGGTGCCAGTGCCAGATGTTTTCAGGGATGTTGTCAGCACTCATCATAGACTGCCTTTTTCACTGGACAGACAACAAAGTGCCTAGAGAATAGTGCAGGTATGATCTGCTTTTGTTCTGCTGTTGTACTGAATCTATTGTCCTGTGACATTGCATTTCAATTTTTGACTTCATATTGATGCCTTGGAAAGACTCAGGGTCAGATAAGTACACCAAATTAAATCTGTGCTATAACTTGTATTCCTGAGTCCTCGACTTACATATCAGGCTGCCTGTTCAGCATCTCTCCTTGAGTGTCTAATATCTCAAACTCATTTTTTTTTTATTACTTCTTCCTCCTGTAGTGTTTTCTTGCCCCCTCACTCTGGCTTATGTGGCTCAAGGGGGGTCTTAGCTGGTCTGGAACCTCTGAGCACAGGTGATCCACCCGCCTCGGCCTCCCACAGCGCTGGGACAACAGGCTGGGACAACAGGCGTGAGCCACCACGCCCGGCCCTCAAACTCATCTTAAACTCAGTGAGGCTAAAACTGAACAAGCAGTCTCTCCCACAAATTTATTCTCTTACAGTCTTATCATAGTTGATGGCAAATTCATTGCACTGTTACTTGTGCCAAAAGCCTTGGTTATCCTGGATTCTCATGTTTGCCATCAGATCCTGATGGTGGCTCTACCTTCAAAATATATCCAGAATCTGACCATGTTTCATCATCACCCTGGTCCAAACGTGATCTCCTTTTACATTCTGCTCTCAACATAGGAGCTCCTGTTAAAAAATACTCAGCTCAGAACCTTCTAGTGCTTGCCTATGTCACTTGGAGTAAAAACCAGAGTCCCTTAATGGGGTCCCAGGAAAACTTGCTCTTTCCCCATAGGTTGGTTTGCTGAAAAGATCAACTCACAGTTATGGTAGATTAATAAGAGAAAGATTTATTTCCAAATGCCATGTGCATGAGGGGAACCACAAGAATGATTCCCTAAAATCCCAGTGACAGTCAGTGGCTTTTAAAGATGGCTTTTAGAAGGGAGGGAGGGAGAAAAACTGGAAAGTGTAGGTGTAGTAAGTGGCTGCTGGGGGAATGGGTAGATGGAGGGTAAACAGATTAATTTGTGAATTAACCTGAGAGACAGGTATGTGATGAGGAGTCTAGCAGCCCTTTAAGATTTTAGGTAGATAGAGGAAAATCTTCCTTCAAAGTTCCCTGATTATGAATAGCCTTTAATTCAGAATAATCTTTATACTAAGGAATCATATTTTGGGGTGAAATTTTCTTAGCACCTTCACCCTCAAAAATACTTTTTATGTAGTTTGTGTCCTGTACTCCTCCCTCTCCCATATATAGTTCACCCTTCAACCCTGCATGTTTGAAATGTGTGGGTCCAGCTGCATACCACTGTTCTGCCACCTCTAAAACCAGAGGACCAACCTTTATTCTTCCTCTTCCTCCTCAGCATAAGATGGTGAGGTTGAAGTCTGTAACCATGATCTAGTCAGTCATGCTTATTGCATAATATATATTGTCCCTTGTGATTTTCTTAGTAATATCTTCTTTAGTTTATTGTAAGAATACAGTGCATATAGTATGTATAATATATACAAAATATGTGTTAATTGCTTACGTTTTTGGTAAGGCTTCTGGTCACTAGTAGGATATTAGTAGTCAAGTTTTTGGGGAGTCAGAAGTTATATGCAGATTTTCAGCTGCACAGGGGTTGGTGCTCCTAACCCCTATGGTGTCA